ACCCCGCAACCCACCCGCGACCCACCCGCGACCCACCCGCGATTCAACCCGCGACCCGCCCGCGATCCACCCCGAGACCCCCCCGCGACACACCCGCGACCCTACGGGCGACCCGCCCGCGACCCACCCGCGACCCACCCCGCGACCCACCCGCGACCCACCCGCGACCCACCCGCGACCCACCGCTACCCGCCCGCGACCCACCCGCGACCCACCCCGCGACCCACCCAAAATGTTCGGCGCCTGCGGCGGGTTTCTTTTGCATCCGTTCCAAGTGGAAAAGCTGCGACCCACCCGCGACCCAAACCGCGTTCAATGTACAAGTCAATTTTCGACGCCTGCGGCGGGCTGTTTGTGAATTCCTTCCAAATGGAAGTGGAACGCCCGCGACCCACCCGCCACCCAAAATACGTTCACTGCGCGCCGAAACTTCGGCGCGCAGTGCCTGCGGCGGGTTTCCTTTGCATCGGCGACCCTCCCGCGACCCACCCGCGACACACCCCGAGACCCCCCCGCGACCCACCCCGCGACCCACCCGCGACCCACCCGCGACCCACCCGCGACCCACCACGACCCACCCGCGACCCACCCGCGACCCACCCCGCGACACCCAAAGTTTTCGGCGCCTGCGGCGGGCTTCTTTCGTATCCGTTCCAGGTGGAAAACCTGTAACCCAACAGCGACCGAAACCGCGTTCAGTGTACAAATCAAAACCTTCGGCGTTTGCGGCAGGCTGTTTTTGAATTCCTGCCAGGTGGAGGCGAAACGCCCGCGACCCAAACGACGTTCACTGAACAAGCCAAAAGTTCGGCGCCGGCAGCGGGTTTCTTTTGCATTCGTTCCAAGTGGAGAACCTGCGACCCAAACCGCGTTCAGTGTACAAGTCTCGGCGCCGGCGGCGGGCTGTTTCTGAATTCCTGCCAGGTGGAAGTGGAAAACCCGCGACCCACCCGCGACCCAAACCGCGTTTTCTGAACAAACCAAAACTTCGGCGCCTGCGGCGGGTTTCTTCTGCATCCGCTCCAGGTGGAGAACCTGCGACCCAAACCGCGTTCAGTGTACAAATCAAAACTTTCGGCGCCTGCGGCGGGCTGTATTTGAATTCCTTCCAAATGGAGGTGAAGAGCCCGCGACCCACCCTCAGTGAACAAACCAAAAATTCGGCGCCTGCGGCGGGCTGTTTTCGCATTCCTTCCGGGTGGCCCACCAGCGATCCCCCCCACGCTGAGCTTGTCAGAGCACGCAAATCGGCGCGTGCGGCGGGCTTGCCCGCATTGGCTTGGGAAAACGCCCTCGTGCCATTCCCCCGATTTGGCCCACGCTGACTCTACATCAGCACAACGGCGCCTGCGTCGGGGCTGTGTTTGAACACGTTCATCGACAGTCCAGCTGCCTGCTGCAATCCGGAGGAGGCGGACGACGACGACGACGACGACGACGACGATGAGGACGAGGACGCGGACGAGGAAGAGGAGGGAGAGGAGCAGGAGGAGGAGGAGGAGGAGGAGGAGGAGGAGGAGGAGGAGGAGGAGGAGGAGGAGGAGGAGGAGGGCGCCATCGACAGGGAAGGTGACGGCCACGAAGTCCGCCGGCTCGACGCACGCGTCTCCCGCGCCCGCCCCCTCACTCTTCCCCGCACTTGCGGGGTGCTACGCACTTCCACTGTGGGCAAGGCGCCATTGGAAGACAACCGTTTGAAAGCCCCAAATGGTGCCACAACACCCTTCCTTTGACTTCAGCGCCGCGTCTCAACGTGACGACTGCGTCCTAACAATATGCAGCCGAGCTGGCACGTTATTCAGCACAACGAATCAGTGTGACTGCTGCGCCCTGACAATCCTACATCGTGCCAGAATTCATTGACATTCAACCATACGAACCGTTGGGGATGCTGCAACTTCAAAACGAATGTGCGCGGCGTTCAAGCGAGAACCACACATTGACAATCCCACCAGCCCTTTGGGCGTAGGTGTTTTACGGCGTTTCCTCTTCCACCCCTCCCTCTGCCACTTCGGGAAAGGGCTTACCCCCGCCAAAAAAAACCCTCCCCTGGACTTGGAGGGGTGCGGTCGAGAGGCGCTGGGGCGTCAAAGATGGTCCAAAATGGCCCCAAGAGGGCCTCAGAGAGCCCAGGATGACCTCCAAGATGGGTCAAGAGTGCGCACAATGCCTCAAGATGGCGCCCAACATGCTCCGAGGAGGCACCCACACCGCCACACGTTCGGTTCTTGGTAGCCACGGTGCCTCCCAAGGAGGCCGCCAAGATGCCAACATCCTTCAAAAACCGCAGGAAAATCAATGAGTTTGGCCTTCTCGCCTTTTTCACGTTCGATGGCCTTCCGAAGCCTCAATGCAGCTCCAAGAGGGCCCACACAGGCCCTAAGAGAGACCCAGGAGAGCCCCAAAACGGCCGCAAAAGCGTTCAAGAGCGCTTTAAGAGGGGGCCAGGAGGCGATTTTAAGGGGCTCCCGAGGGGGGAGGCTAATTAAGGACCCCCCGCTCCTCCAAGATGACCCCAAGAGCGCCCTAATGCTCCTGAAAGCGCCGCAAGAGGGCCTCAAGAGGCGCCCAGTCGGGCGCCCAAAAAAAATATAATATCCCAAAATGCTTCGAAAGGCTCTCGCCCTTGTGTTTGCCCTCATCCTCCTGCTCTTCCTTCCTCCTCCTACTCCTTATATTCCTCCTCCTCTTCCTCCTCCTCCTCCTTCTCCTCCTCCTCATCATCATCCTATTCAGCTTCCTTCTCCCCACTCCCTCATCCATCCATCCAGCCTCCTCCTTCTCCACATCCACCCTTTGCACGGTTCGGCCGTCCACCTCTTTGCTCCCGCACTTACCTGATCACCCCAACTCGCCTGGACATCGGTTCTGGATGGGCTGGTGGGGGGATTTGTTGGTCTGCGGGCTCGCGAAGCAGGTCGAAAGCCGTCCGAACACTAGTCGGGCCGCGACTGGGAGCAAGAAAAGAGAGGCAAACGAAGCGTGCGCGCGGGCAGCCGCCCAGAGGAGGAGCCAAAAACGAAACTCCCAACGCAGTTGCGTGGAGATCCCGGTGGCGACCAGCAAACAAGCGCAGCCAAAATGGCGTGGCTGCGCGACCATAAACACGTAGAGGCCAACCACTCCATGCGAGTCGGCGTGAGGCACCGTCAGAGACGACCAGGACCGACAAGCACAAACGGACGACGTCCGTGCCGTAGGCGACACAAATGCATCGTGTCAGCGCAAGAGTGAAGAGGGGCAACCTCGTCACAGATAGGGCTGCAGACGGCAGTACATCTTGTTTGTACAGCAGTGGCACATGTCGAAAGCGAAGTCCGTGCAGGAGAAAGCAGCCGACGAGCGCACCGAACCACGCATGCCGAAGTCCAAGCACCGTGGAGGTCGGCAGCGTGCGAGACCCCATTGAACCCTTTGGTCACCAGTGGAGGCTGACACCAGCCAGGAGCAGGCCAGGGGCCACCTGACCGCGCATTCCCAGTGTGATCCAGGCATGGAATTCGTAGCGAGACCCCAGTGGACCCATCGGTCACCAGTGGAAGGCCAGGGGCCACGTGACCGCCAATTCCGAATGTGATCCTTGCGTGGAATTCAGGCTGTTAGAGCACCACCAGACAGCAGCATTGGCGGCGACCCCAACCGCGCGGGATAAACCTGGCGAGACAAAGGAGAAAAGGGGAAGTGCACGCCAGGCACGGTAGGCACCCCGGCGCGGCAGTAAAACGCTGCAGCGTTAAGATGCAGGAGGGAAGAAGGGACACAGGCACAAAGAAGCAAGTGCACGCCAGGCACGGAAGGCACCCCGGCGTAGCAGCTAACCGCTGCAGCACTAGAATGCAGGAGGGGAGAGGGGCCGCCGTCCGCGCGAAAACGACTCGCGCGAAAACTGCCGCCGTTCGAAAGAAATTCGCTGGGCGCGTGCGCGCGAAAACGTGCGCGCCAGTTCCCGGCGCTCCCGCGCGCCCCGCGGCTGCCGGGAACCGAGATTTTGCGGCGCGGCGGCCGCCGCCTCCGCGGCGCAAGGCGGCATCGATGCCATGGTTGAGCCGGGCCAGACGATGGCGGGGGCCAAGATTTTGGAGAGATCGAAATTGGAAAAACAAAAACCAAATTCCCCGTTCCTGGCTCTGTCTGGCGCCCCAAGAACTCACGGCGGACCAGAGGGCGGCGGGAGCCGAGATTTTGGAGAGATCGAGGCTGGAAAAACCCGAAATCCGAGTTCCCGGCTCTGTCTGGCGCCCCAAGAACTCACGGCGGACCGAAGGGTGGCGGGCGGGAACCAGGATTTTGAAGTGATCGATGCTGGAAAATCTTAAATTCCCAAGTTCCCGGCTATGTCCGGCGCCCCAGGGACCCGCGGCGGCCCAGAGGATGGCGGGGGCCAAGATTTTGGAGAGATCGATGCTGGAAAAACCCGAAATTCCGATTCCCGGCTCTGTCTGGCGCCCCAAGAACTAACTCACGGCGGACCAAAGCGTGGCGGGAACCACGATTTTGAAGAGATCGAGGCTGGAAAATTCTAAATTCCCAGTGCCCGGCTCTTTCCGGCGCCCCAAGGGCCCACGGCGGCCCAGAGGGCGGCGGGGACCAAGATTTTGGAGAGATCGAAACTGGAAAAGCCCGAAATCCCGGTTCCTGTCCGAGAGCCCAAAATGGGCGGCGGTATCTCTGGGAGGTATCCGATCTCAGAGCCGAAATCTTTTTCTCGAGCCTCGCGAGGGGCTGCGGAGCGCAGCGAATCATATCCTTCTGAAACATTATCAGGCTAGGAGGCGATATGACACGCACTCCTCCTCGGCAGATGTCGCAAACCGTCAACTGACGGAAGCGCGAAATCGAGCTCCAGCCCACGCGGTATTATATCTCGATTCTCAACCTGCTGCGGGCTATGGTCAGCGCCCCGACGGCTGGCCCTAATAGGTCGGCTTCAAGAAATAGAGACTCTCTTCTCTTCGCGGCTTCGAGCTGCACGATTCACGGCTACGCTCTGCACGTGGCAGTCAAAGAAGCATAGCAATCACTGTGAAACGCACAGCTGCTGGAACCTCACTGTGCCCATGCCTTGGTAAGCCCCTCGCGATCTCCAAGGTCATGGGCAGCCTCTTCACAGGCTCGTGATGACGAGCGGGATCCAGAGCCTTCGCCATCAGATCCGCTGCGTTCTCAGCCGTCGGCACCTTCGCGGTGCGCACTTCTTTCTCGGCCACTTTCTCCTGCAACCACAGGTACTTCACGTCCAGGTGTCTGATGCGTCCGACACCTAGCCTCGAGCATATCCCGATGGCGGCGGTGCTGTCGCCACGCACCGTCACCGTCGTCTTGATGCCCATCTCCTCGAACAGGTTCTTCGTGAAGATCCCCCGCGAAGCGCCGTTGGTCATCTCCACATACTCAGCTTCTCCACTGCTCAGCGCACGCGTCGCCTGCTGACGAGCCCAACTGCCGATGCACGCCTTGCCGACGTACTCGAAACCTCCACAGCGGCTCCTGCGCGTCACTTCATCTCCAGCCCAGTCCGAGTAACCCCTGATACTCAAAGTTCCACATCATCTGCGGGTGCGCCGCTCAGTAGGCAGCCAACCGCTTCAGCTCCAGCTCGTGGAGCACCAGTGGCTCCTGCACCCCGCGCATGATCCAGCTCGTCGCGAACTGGATGTCAGGTCTGTCTGCTGCCAAGTACAGTGCCGTCGGCGCCGCCGACTGGAACAGCCTCTTCTCCGCGTATCCCAGCTTGTCCAACGCCGTTGGCACCTCCTTCCCGATGCTCTTGGAAGCCGGCGAGATCCCCCTCGCCGCTGGTAGCTTCCCGTAGGCCTCGACCGCTGTCCTCGCGTGCTTCGCGCCGCTCTCCCAGTGGAACCCCCCCTCTGTCGAGCTAACCGCCCTCTTCATGAAATGGCCAGACGTCGCTTCACCTCCAGCTTCTGCGGGCCCCGCGAACGGTCACCGCTTCACCTCGAACTTCGCCCCAGGATCTCGCTCAGCCACCTCGGGCCCTCAAGCGCCCCCACGGCGATGACGTCGTCTCCGCGCACCGCGATGTAGATGCCCTTCTGGACGTGGTAGAACACCATCACCGTCACCATCGTGCGGATGAAAACCTGATCGGTCAACGCCCCAATGACCTTGTGCTGGAACAGCTTGCTCGCTCTCCTGGTCCCATGCAGCGCCTTCCGCAACTGCAAAACTACATTCGGCTCCTCCGCGCCTGAGGGCGGCACCGCGTACACGTCCACATCCATCTCAGCGTGGAAGAACGCGTTGCTGATGTCCCAGAGTCCGGTCAGGTAGACTTTCACGTGGTTCCTGAACGTCGCTGCCAGCGCCAGTGCCGGCCTGGCGAACTTCAACGGGGGCGTCCCAGCGAATGCGTCGTCGCGCGCCTGGCAGGCAACCTGCATGGCCACGAACCTGCACCGCGCTGCGTCGGTGCCCACCTACCAGTCCTGCAACCACTTGCCCCTAACGCGCTTGCCTTTCGCCTCCGTGACGTGATCCCGGTTGAGCGCTCCATGCTCTTTCATCTTGGCACGCTCTCGAGCTCTTCCTTCTCGAACCTTCTCTGCTGGAAGCAGCTGTCCAGAGAGCGCCCCCTTGACGTTGGAAAGATCCTTCTCCTCGCACGGTTCCGCGGCGTACTCGCCAAGTTCCACCACGCACAGTTCCATTGGCATGACGTTGACGGCCAGCCCGCCGACTACGCGCGACATCTTGCTCTCTGGCGTCTCCTCCTTCTCTGAGACCTGTCGCTTCGCTCTTTCGGCAATTTCCACGGGATCCTGCGCCATCATCTCAACGCTTTCCTCCTCGTGATCCATCGCCGCGTCTACTGCCTCGCTGGGAGCTGCTGCTGCGGCTGCTGCTGCTCTGCGCCCCGGCCCCTCTGCTGGCGCACGCTTCGACTGCTTCCTGGCCGCTTCCCGAGCCAGTGGCGGTGCCTCAGCTCGCGCTCCAGCCTGTGCTGCCAGGCCTTCGCAATGTCCTCCGCGCCCAGCAAAGCCTCCAGTCTGGCTCTGCAACCCGCAGCGTGGTGCTGGCCCGTCTCGTCGCAAGCTGGGCAGCCAGGTCTCCGACCCAACCAGTTGAGAATCCCCGTGGTCAGGTACCTCGGCCTGTCCACGGCCTCCGGCGCCAGCAGCGTTGCCTTCGGGTCGAAAGGCGTGCAGATGATCTGGCTAAAGAGGTTCTTGTTCCACCGCTTCTCGTCGGGCCCCCTGGCGCTCGATCTCGCAAAGACCCGTCCCCGCGGTGCGCCGATCATGTGCTCATCGCTGACGTTCGCCTTGCCGAGCCAGATGCCCTTGTCCCATCTGGCTTCCATCTTCCCAGCGGCACCGGGGGGTAACTTGTGCATCGCGGTCCCCACGAACTCTGCGATCTGACTGTGGTAATCTCGTCCTTTGAGCGGACGATGCGGTGTCAGCCCATCTACTCGCTCGGTGAACCTCGTGAGGGTCCAGCCTGCCTGCCTCGTCAACCAACTGCTCATCGGCTCGCTTGGCTTCAGCTCCACTTTGTAATGTGCGTTGACGGTGTGCACGAGTGCGCAAATGAGCTGCTGGAATCTGCCTCCAGCCGCCTCGATCGGACCCTTGGACTTGGAATCGAGCCTTGGGCCGACCTGCAACACCGTCTCCTCGTCTCGTGCGGCTGCTGCCGCTCTCGCATGCGCCGTGATCACGTTCCCCTGGTCACACGACGCCACCACGCGCTTGCGGCCCCAAAACTGCAACGCCTGCACCAAGACATTGATGCCGCAATCCGCCGCGCCCTTCTCCATGACGTTTGCACTCTCGAAAGCCGACGACTCGAAGTCCAGGCAGATCAGCAGCGTCATCACATCACCGGTGCCCTTCATTCCTGGGAATGAAAAGTCGATCCAGACCTGGGGCGCGCCCCTCTCCTGGCCCGTCCCGGGATGAACTTCTTCGCGTCTTCCTCCGACTGCGCAAGCCTTGCGCCATGAACGACACGGCCAATGGGGAAGTCGATGTACTTGACGTTCGGCAAGCGGTGGCATCACTGGAACACCCTTCGCTATCGCAACCCTGCTCTCTGGGCTGCCGCGCAGTTCGACGGCGCCCCTCTGCTTGCGAACGATCTCCAGGTGGTCAGCAGGTTGAGCGTCTCCAGGTTCTGCTGCTGCCGCCGCTGCTGCGGCGAGGCAGTTCCTGCAGCTGATGAGCTTGCTGCTCCTCCTGGGCTAACTCCTGCTGCCTCGCCTCCTGCTGGCCCTGGCTGCCGTCCATCCCGCTAGACTGGAATGGGTTGAGCTACAGCTGACTGTCGTAGTGGGGCGATCGTGACTGCTGGCTCGCTGGCTGTGACCACGCTCTTCATCAGCATGTGCCAGATGCGGCCCTGCTGCGCCCATGGGAAGATCCGCCCACCCAGCGCCTCCAGCGCGCACGGGTACAAACCGTGCTTGGGAACGAAGCCTGCCTCCAGCAAATCCTGCTGCGCCACGATCGGCCACTTAACGTTCGTGAGCTGGAACCTCATCTTGATGACCTCCTGCTGCTGGTCGAGCGCCGTCGCCGTGAAGTTGACCTCGCACGCGCCGTGGTGGATGATCGACTGCCCTGTCGCGGCCTCAAGCGGTGGCAAGCCCTTTGGCACAATCCAGTTGCTACTGCCCTGCGGTTCTGCCTCTGCGAACTCCATGGGATAAGTAGTAATGCCTGCACCGCTGTCGATCATCAGGTAGTCTGCGTCGTCGTCTTCGAAGATGCTCGCACCTGCGGCCGCCAGCATGCTCGCGTAGATGGGTCCCTCGTCGTCTGTGTCGGGCCGCGGGTACGCGCGCTCCTCTTGAATGGTGGTTGGCGTGCCTCTCACCTGTTGAAGTGCCATCGCCGATCCTGAAACCGCTGATGATGGGCCGACTGCCGATTGCGCCAGTCTCCTCGCCATGCCCAGGTGATGCTGCGACAACATGCGAATGGGAATCGTCTTCACGAGTGATGCCGAGCCATTCGGGCCGATGGTGGGCGTCGCGCATCCAGGTTGAACTGGTTGCTGCTGAGGAACGACTGCATTGGTATTGCTGTTCTGGCTCGCCTGTCTCTAATCATGGCGCCTCTTGAGCCTGCACGTCTCCGTCGCGTGTCCTGCCATCTTACACCAGTCGCACCACTTGTCGTTCTTCGCGGCCCTGGACTTTCCTTTGTCGTCTTTGCCTTCCCCTTTGGCTGAGACTTTGTCGTCTTTGGTTTTACCATTGGCACTCTTGCCCTGGCCTTTGGAGTCTTTGCCGCCTTCGTCGTACCAGCTGCAAACTGCGTCCACGCCCATCGGCATCACCTGATCGTTACCTCGATGCCAAACGCGATGATTCACTATGAAGCCCATGATTTCCCTTCTGATGTCGTTATATATCATGAGCCTGTTCGAGTTCAACGCCAGGTGCGACTTCAGTATTTCGTCTTCCTGCCCTTGCACCAGCGCGTTCGCTGCGATAGACTCTGGCAGGATATCCTCGGCCTTCTCCTCGTACTCGGTGACCTCGCGCTCCCATGTCTCGATGGCTTCTCTGTGTCCGCCTCAAGCCTTGAACGTCGTGTTCAACGACTGGTTGAGCAGCGCGCCCTGTCGCCCCCTGACCATGGGTTCGTACTCCATGATCAGCTGTCTCCAAGCCTCGAAACCGGCGGAGCTCTTCGCGTTCTTGATCAGCTTGAATTCACGAGACTTCATCGTCATACTCACCGTCAGCAAGTGGAACAGCATCCTCGAGCGCTTCTCATCTCCGGCTTTCTCGTCATTGAACGATCTGCCCATGACCACTTCTTCGTCCATGGTCGTAGTTCTGTCCATCAGCTCGATGGTGCGCTCGTCCTGTGATGCCACATAGCTGCGTAACAAATGCACCAGTCTGACCAGGACTCCTGCTCACCGTCAAACCTGTCGGGGTTCTTCGTAATCTTCGTGTCGAACGGCGCTGCGTCTAGCTCCGCCCCTGCTGCACCGGCCACTCCCGCCGCAGCTCCTGCCGCCGCGCCGCCCTCAGCGGCGCGGGCGGCTGCCTCTTGAAGTTGATCCGCTCGATCCCGCTGGCGTCGAGCCCCCTGCGCCAGCTCTATGTTCGCCTGCTCGAGCGCCTCGAGCCTTCTGACGATCTCCTCGGGCGTTGCCATCCTCGATATCCTTCGTCGCAAGCTGGCCCTGCTTCTTGATAGCGCACAGCCACCTGCCGGGCTCTGACCAGTATCCTCTGATCTTGCCGAGCGAGATCAGTTGGATCGTAATCCTCTTCCAGGCGCGCTGGCAATCTCTTTCTCTGCTGATCAGCTCGAAGCCCTCGTTCTCGCCAGCCCTGGCTGGCGTTGTCACTGATTCTGTGGATCGCGCAGCGCCGAAGCGCTCCGCTACCGTCCGAGAGCCCAAAATGGGCGGCGGCATCTCCGGGAGGTATCCGATCTCACAACCGAAACCTTTTTTCTCGAGCCTCGCGAGGGGCTGCGGAGCGCAGCGAATCACATCCTTGTGAAACATGTCAGGCTAGGAGGCGATATGTAACGCATCCCGGCTCTGTCTGGCGCCCCAGGGACCCGCGGCGGCCCAGGGGATGGCGGGAACAAGGATTTTGGAGAGATCGAAACTCGAAAACACAGAAATCCCGGTTCCCGGCTCTGTCTGGCGCCCCAGGGACTCACGGCGGCCCAGAGGGTGGTGGGGGCCAGGATTTTTGGAGTGATCGAGGCTCGAAAAACAAAAATTCCCGGTTCCCGGCTCTGTCTGGCGCCCAAGGGGCCCACGGCGGCCCAGAGGATGGCGGGAACCAGGATTTTGGAGATATCGAGGCTGGAAAACCCCGAAATCCCAGTTCCCGGCTCTGCATGGCGCCGCAAGGACTCACGGCGGCCCAGAGGATGGCGGGGCCCAGGATTTGGGAGAGATCGAGGCTGGAATAGCTCAAATTCCCGGTTCCCGGCTCTGTCTGGCGCCGCAGGGACCCACGGCGGCCCAGAGGATGGCGGGGGCCAAGATTTTGGAGAAATCGAAGCTGGAAAAAAAACAAAATTCCCGGTTCCCGGCTCTGTCTGGCACCCCAAGAACTCACGGCGGCCCAGAGGATGGCGGGAACCAGGATTTTGGACAGATCGAGGCTGGAAAAGCCCAACTTCCCGGTTCCCGGCTCTGTCTGGCGCCCCAGGAACCCGCGGCGGCCCAGAGGATGGCGGGAACCCAGATTATGGAAAGATCGAGGCGGGAGAAACCCGAAATCCTGGTTCCCGGCTCTGTGCTCTCTGCTGCTCTGCTGCTCTGTGTGTGCTCTCTGCTGCTCTGCTGCTCTGTGATCTCTGCTGCTCTGCTGCTGCTCTGCTCTCTGCTGCTCTGTGCCCTCTGCTGCGCTGTGCTCTCTGCTGCTCTGTGCTCGCTGCTGCTCTGTGCTCTCATGCTGATTTGCTGCTCTGTGCTCTCTGCTGCTCTGTGCTCTCTGCTGCTCTGTGCTCTGTGCGGCGCTGTGCCCTCTGCTGCTCTGTGCCCTCTGCTGCTCTGTGCTCTCTGCTGTTCTGTGCTCTCTGCTGCTCTGTGCTCTCCATGCTGCTCTGTGCTGCCTGCTGCTCTGTGCTCTCTGCTGCTCTGTGCACTCTGCTGCTCGGTGCTCTCTGCTGCTCTGTGCTCTCTGCTGCTGTGTGCTCTCTGCTGCTCTGTGCTCTCTGCTGCTCTGTGCTCTTTGCTGCTCTGTGCTCTCTGCTGCTCTGTGCTCTCTGCTGCTCTGTGCACTCTGCTGCTCGGTGCTCTCTGCTGCTCTGTGCTCTCTGCTGCTGTGTGCTCTCTGCTGCTCTGTGCTCTCTGCTGCTCTGTGCTCTCTGCTGCTGTGTCTCTGCTGCTCTGTCCAAGCGCGATTGGTGTTCGCTCGATTGGTTTTCGCTTGAACGGACTACCTTTTCGCTCGAACGAGCGTCTTTTCGCTTGAACGATCCACCCGCGGGAGGGGGGGGGATGTGCTCGCCAGGCACGCGGCGTGAGAGGGCGGGGAATAAAAGTGGACTCGAGCAGTTGATGCTGACGAAGACAATCACGGTGGGCTGCCAGTCCACATACCCGGTGCGTTGTCAAAACCGCGTCTCGGCGAAACTGGGCGGCGCCCCACACTCGGAGTTACTGTCGAACCGTTGCTCGGTCCATGGGCTCTCGGTTGCTCGGTTCCCCCTTCCAAGCCGTGCCCGGAGCACTCCCGCCCTACTGCGCGCGGCCAGTGTCGGCGCCCACGAGATCCCGACCATCTCGCGGGGGTGCCCGGCGCCCACTGTTCGCGCCGACGTGATGCCCCAGGCGTTGTCCACGCACCTGCGCACAGTCGATACCCAGGCCCAATAAATCGCTCACGGCCCGAACATCGCAGCTGCGGCTGTGAAATGGTCGCGCAGACGCGGGTCGAAAACGCGCGCGGTACCAGGGGCAGCGCGTTGCGCAGCAAAGGCGCGCCAGGCGGCTGTGAACGACGCGCCCAGGGTGACCTGGAGGTACCTGATCGTCTCGTTTGGTGGCACTCCGTGGGGTTCCAACTGGGAGTCGCGGGCCTGGGCTCTATAGAGCGGCCTTCCAGCGCGGGAGCCCCGTGGTCCTGGATGCTAGCGATCGGCGAACAGCCTGGGCGTCCACCCACTTCCCGTCCGACACGTCAACCCAGAGGTCCTCAGGATCTTACTTGTAGATCCCAGGATTCAGGATCTAAAACAAAGGGTTTGGGATCTAATTTTTAGATCCTAGATCCAGGATCTAAAACAAAGGGTTTGGGATCTAATTTTTAGATCCTAGATCCAGGATCTTATGTTTAGATCCAGGATCTTATTTTTAGATCCAGGATCTTATTTGTAGGTCATAGATCATGGAAGTTATTTTTAGATCCAGGATCTTATTTGTCAATCCCGTATA